CCACGTGTTTGCGAGGGTGCAGCGAGTCGTTTGGCTGATGCAGAGCGTAGTGCACGCGCTGGGGTGTACGGTTTAACCATGTCCTGGATGTAGGAAGGGCCAGATCCATTCGCAGCATGGTAAGCAAGTACCAGTGTCTTGAAGTGGATTCTAGCAGTTACCGGAAGCCAGTGGAGGGAGCGGAGGAGCGGAGTGGTGTGGGAGAATTTAGGAAGGTTGAAGACCAGACGAGCCGCTGCATTCTGGATGAGCTGCAGAGGTCGGATGGCACATGCAGGTAGACCAGCCAGGAGGGAGTTGCAGTAGTCTAGGCGTGAGATGACGAGAGCCTGGACCAGAACCTGAGTCGCTTTCTGAGTCAGCTGGGGACGTATCTTCCTGATGTTGTAAAGCGTGTATCTGCAGCAACGGGTTGTAGCAGCGATGTTTGCAGTGAAGGACAGGTTGTTATCTAGGGTCACACCCAGATTCCTTGAAGTCTGAGTCGGGGAAACAACTGAGGTGCCGATGTTGATTGTTAGGTCAAGAGTGGGACAATCTTTTCCCGGGAGGAAGAGCAGCTCAGTCTTGTCAAGGTTGAGCTTGAGGTGGTGAGCAGACATCCACTGAGAGATGTCAGCTAGACAAGCAGAGATGCGTGTGACGACCTGGGTCTCTGAGCGGGGAAAGGACAGAATTAATTGGGTGTCATCAGCGTAGCAGTGGTAAGAAAAACCATGCGGGCTAATGACTGATCCGAGCGAGTTTGTGTACAAGGAGAAGAGGAGGGGACCAAGAACAGAGCCCTGAGGGACCCTCAGGGCTCAATTAACCCTGTAGTTAATTGACAAGGGTCGGACTCAGACCCTCTCCAAGTCACCCTGTAGGTACGGTCTTTCAGGTATGAGGTGAGGAGGGAAAGTGCAGAGCCTGAAACTCCAAGTTTTTGGAGAGTGCGAAGGAGGATCTGATGATTCACCGTGTCGAATGCAGCAGACAGGTCCAACAGGATGATGACAGAGGAGAGGGATGCAGTTTTTGGCAGTGTGCAGTTCCTCCGTGACAGCAATGAGAGCAGTTTCTGTGGAGTGACCTGCCTTGAAACCAGACTGGTGCGGATCCAAAAGGTTGTTCTGATGGAGATAACAGGAGAGTTGTTTAAAGACAGCGCGTTCAAGTGATTTAGACAGGAACGGGAGGAGAGAGACAGGCCTGTAGTTTATAACATCAGACGGGTTGAAGTTCAAATGCAGAAGTTCCACGAGGAGGGAAAAAGGCAACGAGCTATAATAATAATAATAATAATCCTTATATTTATTATAGCGCTTTACCAATGACTCTCAAAGCACTTTACAAATACACATTACACATACAGATCATACATACATGTAATGGTCATCTACTGTGGACAATACCCACAGGAGCAAATTCGGGTGAAGTGTCTTGCCCAAGGACACAACAGCCTGACGCAGTGGCGGCAGGAGCGGGTTTCGAACTGGAGTTCCCCAACGCCCCTTGATCTGATGATCAAACGCACAGACCACTGCGCCACCCGTCCCTATAATACTTCCAACCTGATTAGTCACCTGAAACATCGCCATCGCTACGATGGTGTGTTAAAAGCGTACGAAGACGCCTGCGCTGCTAAACTAGCGGCGAATCCAAAGCCAGCTGCAAAGGCACCGGGGCTTTTACCTATCGACGAGGCTTTTGGAAAAGGCAATACTCAAAAAAATACTCAATTATATTTATTTGGGAAAATAAATATGGTCACTTTGAAGAGTCAAAAGTAGTTCATAGTAGTAATGCTCATGTCATTTGCTCACTACTAGTCTTTTTTTTACCACCAGGTGTGCAAAAACTACATTTTAATTATATATATATTATATTGGTATCGGTATCGGTCTTGAGAAGCAGGAAGTTATCGGTATCGGTATCGGTTTCAAAAAACCAATATCGTGCATCCCTAACTTCATAATGTCTTTGTCTTTTTCGTCCTGCATTTATTGTGCAGAAAATAACTGGCCCCCCCACTCAAATTGGTCTAGAACCGCTGCGGTGCAGTTCAGCGTGTCTCTCTCTCTCTCTCTGTCTCTCTCTCTCTTTCTTCACACAGCGGCTCGGCTGCCTCATCTTTGTCAACCTTTCTTATGTTCTTTCTCTAACACGTAATGAAGGTTATTAAGCGTGTTAGTGTAACGTTTTCCGAGAGGACCCAAACGCAGGACAAGGCAGAGTGTTGGAAAAAGGTTTATTTTGAGGTAGACAGTAATCCGGCTGGAAATGGCGGCTGGTGATGACAGCACGGCAGCCAGAGAGTGATCCTGGAGCACAAGAAGAACACGTAAGAAGAATATACGGTGTTGAGGGAAAATAGCTAATAATGCTAAGGCTAAGAAGGCTGAGAGTTTTACCACTGTGGGTTAAACGATGATCTGGCGCTGACAGGTTGTGGAGCCTCTGCTGATATGGCATTTGTAAATGCTGATGGGAATCAGGTGTGTAGTGGGGGAGGGTGCACAGCTGATTACAGCAGGTGGAGGTTTGAGCCGGGAGCCAGGAGTGACAGCCACCACGCCCACACAGACAGGGAAAACAAACACAAGGGAGGCGGCTGGAAGAGTACAGCCACCACAGTTAGCTCCTATGTTGTTAATATTGACCGCCATCTCCTTTTTGAAGTAAAGCAGCCTCCCTGTCTGTCCTCGCGCTGTCCTCACATCCCCGGACCCCCAGACACGGAGGAGCACAGGGATGTCAGTATTGTTTATTAAGCAGGGTAAAGAAAGTCAATTATTGAAATGAAAATACTATTTATTTACTTTTCCAAACAGTGAGCAGCTGCAGCTGTGTGCTGCAGGACATGTGTTGGACTCTGTCTCACAGGCAGGTTGCAGTGTAACATCAGAGCAGACTGGGACTCAGCACGATAGATTCAAACACAGAGACGAGACAAGAAGGAGAAACCAGTCCGGAGTCATTTCAATGGCGTGCTCAAAAAAGAGAAAGGGTAGACCGTGGGAAAACAGCATTTAATGACATGTTCTCTCACTGGACCTCTTTGAAATGTAATTAAATACCCCTGCATTATAACAACAACAACAACAATAATAATAATAATAGCAATAATAATTGTGAGGGGGGGGCGCGGCTGTTCTTATGTTCTCTGAGGGGAGGCTCACCTTCCCACACTTTGAAAACCCCTGGTATAGAGAATTGGAACGGCACTTATCATGGCTGCCACTGAGGGACTTCCGGGTCATTTCACTCCGTCAGGAAGGTTCCTAAACTAAATGGGACTATTCGACTGCAGCCTAAGTGGAAAAGTGAAGTCTTTAATAATCTAAAATACTTAAAATACATCCTAAATATTTTGACTGGAAAATTGTAAGAAAACACAGAACAATTCTTCAAATATTGCATGACAGTTTCAATCAATCAATGTTTATTTATATAGCCCAATATCACAACAAACTCCAGAACAGGAGTAATGTGGTCCCTTTTCCTAACTCTGGTTAGTACACGAGCTGCAGCATTTTGAATCAGCTGAAGCCACTTGACTGACTTCTTGGTACACCCTGATAATAAAGAGTTACAATAATCCAGCCTTGAAGTAACAAATGCATGGACTAGTTTCTCTGCATCGTTTTGAGGCAAGATATGCCTGATTTTTGCAATGTTACGTAGATGGAAGTAGGCGGTCCTTGAAATTGATTTTATGTGGGCGTTAAAGGATAATTTAGTGTAATTTAGGATAGTTTGAGTGCAAAGGCAGAGAAATGGGAATTAATCAACACATTAAAAAGTTTGCATGGACACAACGAGAGACTCAGAAAAAAACTTAAAATATTGCATCAAAAGTTTGAGCGCAAAGTCGGAAAAAAAATGTAAATCTTGAAATCCCCTTTCAATATTTTGTGTGGAAAAGTCGGAAAAGTACCCCGCTTTAAAATATAAATAAATAAGTGCAAAGGTAGAAAATTAAAAACAAAACAATCTTGAGTATTGTGAAAACGTTTAAAAAAAAACCCGACTTGAAACACAGCGAGAAAGTTTGAGCAGAAACTCGTAAAAAGATCGCAGAAAAAATTCAGAAATCGTGGAAAAGTCTAAAAGAAAACGATAAAAAGAGATCTAGAAATGTCTCTCTGCTTCTTCAGCGTTACATCTGTAATTATGGGATGGCTGTCTCTGAAGGGTTGAGACATTCTTGTTGCCCTGACGATGATCTTGGTCACTCCATCTCTAGCGCCACCTTCAGGTTCTCCGGATTTAAAGAGTGTGAACGAGTCAGAAAAACAAAGTGTTGAGAAACGCTGTACCAGCTGGTGTGTGTGTGTGTGTGTGTGACCCTGACCTCCTTAAGCCAAACAGATTCATGTTACCACCAGTCTCTCTATACACACACACACACACACACACACACACACACACACACACACACACACACACACACACACACACACACACACACACACACACACACACACACACACACACACACACACACACACACACACACACACACAACCACACCACACACACACACACTTCTCTGGGTGAACAGCAGCTGTCTGGAGTCGCGTTGAGATTAAAGTTTAAAGCTAAATATAAGCATGACGTTTAAATCGTGGCAAAAAATAATAATATAATAATAATTTGTCATTTATATTTTCGGGAGTTGATCTGTAAGAAAAGCAATATATTAGATACATGGACTTATACTTGATTTGATCAGAGCAGCATTGTTAACAGTCATTACACATGAATACAAAATGTAATAAAATCCAAACTATGCGTGTGTGTGAGTGACTGTATTTTGGGTCTGTGCAAATGTAATTGTAAAATAGCATAGAGTGAAAAACTGAATTTCCCCTCTGGCATTAATGACAAGTCAATAAATAAGTGATTGTACATTGTTCGTCAGTGCAGTTGGATAATTACAAAACTATAAATAGTATGTTTCTACTATTACTATTCATTATACTATCAAGTGTTTAACATCACGTCCCCCCCTGCAGGAAGCCTCTGGGGTTCCAGGACCTCGGGGCTCACCTGGAGAAGCTGCTGTCTGAAGGAGAGCCAGCGGAGGACAGCAGAGGTGAAGGCCACTGTTTCACACCTCTTTTGGGGGAGAAAACCTCTTATAGTGTAGTTGGAAGTGAACCTGGAGATGTTGAGACCCCCTTATCTTAGAAATGTATATTAGGGTCCCAGCACATAGAAACTGCTGGATGATAACTTGAATTGTGCATTTACACAATTAGCATACGCTGTGGGTCCATTTGGAAGTCTAAGGCGACTCTGGATCGTTTGGACAGATTGCTTAGTTTCTCCACAGTAGAGATGATGACGTTCATCTTGTGCTCTCTGTATCCAACACTACTCGTGGCGGTCTCAGCCACAGAGAGCACAGATATGGCTTCTGTCTGGGTAAAACCAAAGATCAGCCACAGAGAGCACAGATACGGCTTCTGTCTGGGTAAAACCAAAGATCAGCC